TTTTTGTCATCTTATGCCTTTTAATGAAGATGGGAACATTGACAGGGAAATAGATTTGAACAAAGAAGTTTTGTAAAGAGTGCGAATGGTAATGTGATGTAAATTTACTCATGCTAGAAATTTTCATAAAAGTGACCCAAAAAACAGCACTAACTCGGTAATCTGTGGCCCGATAAAGTTTCGTAAAGAGCGCGAACGGTAGTGTGAATGATTTTTTGACCCTTGGTTTGTTACAAAGTGTTTGAGTAACTGCTTAGTTACAGATACAATGCTTAAGGCTCCAACAATGTGGTAAACAAACTTATGAACATGTATAAACAATACTGAATTGCTTGGAATAAAACATCTGTAAAAGTTGACATGATATTGTTGTAAGATGTGATTGATAAGTGAATAAATATTTCACCCTTTCTAAATGTTCAACAATGCACAAGCTTAATGTATAGTTTGAGATATTCAGCATCCTATCTACCACTGCACATTTGCATGTTTTCGGGTGTTAGACATTAAGCACTGCAGATGACACATTACTCTTTGCCTGTTAACTTATTTGATACGAAATAATGTTATATTGGAAATTAACAACTTTGATACAATATAAAAAAAAGTAGGCATTATGGTTGAAAATGCAGATATACAGGAAGCATGTGATTAAAGGCTAGAACAACATCTAAATACTATATTATATTTACATTTGTAATTTACCAAATAGAAGGCATACTTTTATGAATTTTCTGTATTTATGCTTGTGCAATGAATATTTCAAGTACAACATTGGTTTTTTAATTCTATAATGGTGATGACACAGTAATTTCAAAGCTATATTGAAAATTAAAGTACTTGTCCAACAGGCAAAGTATAATGGTAAAACTTGTTGTCTCTTACACAAATCCCATTGTCCTAGGAGTAGGGCAGTATGAATTGGTCACCTCTGATTAAACAATCAGTACTGAAGTGCAAAAGCAAAAATAAAAGATCTTTCAAATCATTTTATTGTAATTATCTACAAAGGATCAATGCTAAAATGAGAAAATTATAAAAGAAAAAAAAATAGAATGTATGTAAAACTTACGAGAAAAAGTCTCTCTTCTTCTGGTTTGAACTCCCATTATTGTCTCCAGAGGTACATCCGTGCGTGGAATGCTAACACAACTTGGTGGAAGCATGATACTTGCCATACATCCAAAGTTACACTCTACTGGAAGATTCCTATAACATGTTGCATGAGCCTGCAGAAAATGTATACCACATAATACATAGTAGTTAAATTTACTTAAATCATTAAGCAGTAGCAAGTAGAGCCATTCTAACATGTGATACACTACAACCTAAGGTATTAACCCTCCAGATACGGATAGCTCAAAGTGCACTTATCTTGACCTTTATACAGATTTACATTCAAAATTTAATCAAACTACTTCATTATCAATTTATATCAATAAACTTGACGTCAAAACATAGTTTATAATTCAATAAATAAGTTTAATTTCTTAATTTCAAAAGGAGATATTTAAATAAATTCTCTATCTTCACTTTTACGTATCACATGAAACTTTGCTCCACATTTTAGAATTTCTTTTCACGCCTATATTATTTAGTGTTTCAGAAGACTTACATGTGAGATATACCCGAGATAAAATGATAATTTATAGTGTATATTTTTCTTGGTTCAATAAGTTATATGCCATAAACTAAAACACTCCTTCCTTGCACATGCTGTTTTCAAAAAATGTCAGAATATTTTTCTGAGATTTGCTGTTGGATTTATAATCAATAAAAAGAGAAGATTTTTAATGCACTGCTTTTCTTATGAGGTTAGCTCATTCTCACAATCAAGTTTGAATTATTCTGCATCAACTTCATAGTTTGCTATTTCCAAGATCACTTTAATGAACTAAGGAAACTATTTTACCAAACATACAGCTTTGTTAGAAAGCCAGTTGTATTATAATAGTTTTAAGGCAATGGTTTCTTATGCTTGTGTTAATATTTTTTGTTCAAAGCTGCATATTTAAAATAAATAAGAATTAACTAAAGTGTTAACAGTGTCTTTTATTTATTGTTACAAAAGTAGCTAACCAGAAAAATTAGAAACTTATTAAATTGGATGAAAAAATATCCAACATCACGAGCACATCTCGTGACAGAGCATGTTGTAACTAATCTAAGTAGCAGTAAAGCAATAAATCTAAATGACCAAGAGGTGTGGACTGTATTACCTTTGATTGTAAGAATAAATAATTGTAATTGATATATTTTGAGCTTGTATAGTGGTAGGATACTGAAAAAAAAAAACTTTTGACAATCATTTAAGAGGTTCTAGAGGTTACCCAAATGAAATTTTAAATCTGTGAAATGAAAAAAGATATTCTTTATCTTAACATGAAAATCACCTCACACTCAAATTAGTCAAAGTCTCCATAAATTCACAGACAAATCTTTGATAAAAATCTTTATTTAAAAAATCTGATTTTCTGTGTTCAAAGGACTAGTAACATTTACTAAAAGATTTCCAAATTTGGTGAAGATATACTTACTACAGTATAAACTATAATATGTACAGTTTCATGGTTACATGGTGGTTACAAGGTCAGTAAAAATGGCTGAGTCCATGTATGGAGATTTAAGAAGATCTGTATATGGGTATGTAGTATACAACTAAGCCTAAGTACATTAAACTGTAAGAAGCAGACTGCTTAATATCAGGTAGCATTATAACCAATATACAATATGCAGTGTAAGTAGAACCATTTATAAAGTACCACTAACTACATGTTAAAGCTGTAGCAACTATGATTGTTTATTACTATATAGTGCTATAACTTTATGCATCAAACTCTAGCAAGTAGAACTACTAATATTAATATTTGAACATAACAAAACTTTCGATGACCCAGGGTGTGACAGTGCTCTATTAATAAAAAAATTGTTTTTATGATAGTTTGTTTTTTAAAAATGTAGTCTAGCAGCTGCCCTATTATTTCTTTTTTTGAATAATATTATAATGATAATGAAATTTCCATAACAATAACGTGACTATAATGAAGGTCATTATCTTATTGTCTTGGGTTAAATAACCACTCTTATTATGAGATGGGCAATAAATTCAAAAAAAGACCCAAAACTTGAGTACTTTGGAATATATGACAATTATTATTGAGGAGAATAAAGAAGAATACTCAAATATTTAAAAGCATTTGAGTTTTGGATCTTTTTTGAAATTTTTAACACCTTTCATATGTGATCCTGTGTGCTAACTCTCTATAATGTGTGTGTGTTGGGGGGGGGGGGGGG